GCGCGGGAATGCCACTCGTGGTGCAAGTACGAAATTTTTCTTCGAAAAAATTACGTCAGGAAAGCGGCTTAAATACCGGTAGAAATTCAATTACGGTTGACAAGCCGCAAGGACTGTGTACGCCGTAAATGGTGCTCGTTGCGTTCCGCTAAAATTACGAAGGGAAATGCGTCTCTAATGCTCAAACACGTAAAAAGTCGCCTTTTCTCTCTCTCTCTCTCTCTCTCTCTCTCTCTCTTTTTCTTTCTCCCTCGTCTTCGTGGGGATCTCACTGAATCGCATTTACTTATTCGATTTATTTATTTGATCCGACCCGGTTGCCAGCCAAGCTTCATCGCCTTCGTTCCTCGTTCGCGGCTGGATGGAAATTTAATGCAAGTTAGATGCGTCGAACACAGTCGATTCGTTTGTATTGAAACGCCTCGTCCTGCCGCGCGACGAATAATTTGAGATTCATCGAGATGCAGCGGGCCGAGTCACTTGTAATTCTTTTCCGTCGTTGCCTCCAGCGCAGCGGCGCGTTTCCACCGTCCTGACTCGTCTTACTCCGCCCCAACCGCCCCTGATCCGCGCTGTCTTTTTTGTCTCGCCATTTGTTCGAAATAGTCCCGGCGTGGAAAGATGGTAGGTGGAATTACGATTGGCGAACGGAGAATGGGAGCAATTGTCCTAGGAGCTGAAGCAAGAGGGAAACAGTTCGGCTGGAAAAAAAGGGGATGAGGGTGTGGTCGATAGAGGGGGGTGAAACGGCACGCCCGGACATCGCTCTGTCGAAGTTAACTTCGCATTTAACATCTGCCTGGGAGGTTAAAATTTCCCTCGAGGTTTTAAGTCGTACGGCAACGGTATATCTTTTGCCTCGATTCGAGAAAAGAAAAATCAGTGGTGACTTTATCGTTCGAAGAGACGGTCGCTCACTGGTCAACTTCTTGCTTATGCACAGAACAAAGAATAGATAACATTAAATGACAGTAAAAATTGGACTGTGCATTGAAATATTTCATTATAGCGTTAATCAAATTTTTAAATGATTTATGAAACACACACATACAATGTGAATATGAAAGTTATCTATGATAAATGATGTATTTCAAGAATTAAAAGGAAGATATTAAAAGAAGAGGATGTATTAAAAATGAATTTCAAAGATGGAAAATCGAACCTTAAATTTTTCTAAATTTAATAAAATAAAATTTGATGGAATTTACGCAGCATCTAATTTAAAGAATGTAAGTGTTACAGGTGATGTATAAATATCTATCTGCTGCCATAAGAAGCCTCCGGTTTCTGCATACTTTTTGACGTGTCTACAGAATGAATATTAAATTTCAAACAAATGCTCAAAAAGCAAATGATCCACAAACAGCTATATTGATTTCGAGTTCTTGAATTAATTATTGTACGACAAAATCGATAGATATAAATTTACTTTATAAAAAACAGACGATTAGAAATTTTTTAAACATTTAGCAAGAAGTAAAATAAAATGACAAAACAAACAAAATCAAACCTACGTATATTTGAAAATAATAGCAGATTGACAGACAGACTTATGAAAAATGTATTCGTCGAAGGGGAAATAAAGAAGGCGTGTTTAATTTCTCCATTCGAATGGCAATATTGGTGGAGCGGCAATTTGCGCGAGGAAATATCGTTTGACGTTTCTATTAAAGATCGATGACGATCGGACCGATGCGTAGCCGCGCGTAAATCTTGTCGCGCCACAATCACAGACCGGATCAGCGAATCGGATAAAAGTAATTCGCGATAAAAGCGATTTCCCGAACCGCGTGCGCGGAATGAATAATAAACGCCGCTGGAACGCGCACATCGTGGTCCAATTATTCGAATCGCGAACAATTCTGCCGAAACTTGTTGATTTAACGAACAAACAGTCAACTAGATACGTCCGATTACGAAACCCTTCATTTCTGTTTGTGCTGTTTCATCAAACGATATCATTTGAATTTGATCAATTCGATTGTCACTGGATCGATAAAAACAGCGCAGCCACTGGCTTTCCGTTGAGACCACCGTGCAAACGATATGTTTGAGACGTCGCGTAGTTCTCTCAGTTAACTACATTGTTCAACGACTTAGAGATAGGATTCGGGAGTTTCAATTGAGTTTTTCGTCGAAACGATTCACAGAAATGTTACGTCCTCGTTCCGAACTCTGTGAGAATACTTTCTAGCTTAAAACTAGTACTATACTATCGTTCGATCTATCTACGATAGTATCCTAATAATAACCGTATAGCGAAATAAAAGTTGCCGAAACATTTCATTAAAAGAAAATTGGTGGAACATTTTTATTAAAAATATTTGAAAACATTCTAAATCAGAATGAGTGGTAGTTAACTTGAATTTGGTAGTTATTCGAATTCACTACACCTATTTGTGTTTAATTGAACATTGCGAAATTTTTTGTTAAAAAATATTCCAGATCAAAATGTGTGGAATGTTCAAGCGTAAAGAATAACATTTTATAGTTAATTGGATTTACAATTATTTCAATCGTTTATACTTGGGCACCAGGGTCGATAGTCTTCTCTGAATTTTTTGACTCTGCTCTGTTTTTTTTTTTTTTTTCATCTTTTCTCTAAATTTATATTAAAATTACTATCGACCGTAACATTTTTTTGTTCTATTAAATAACTTCACCTTCAAAGAATCAAGTCACTCAGAATACGGATTACCGAGTTGATAAGGAACGTCTCGTTGGCAAATACGATAAAAAGAAGCTCTACGATAATCGCGAGACCTGCAGACGATTCGATTATACGTTCGACTCAATGGCGGCGTTTATCGCGACGAACCGCATAAGGGCGCGGTGATTTTTCGACTTGGATTCCCTTGGACGAGAACTCTGAGAATATTGAAATCATAACGTACCAGCCATGAATATTATTCAGGTCTTAAGGCAATATAATCCAAAATCGATCGAGCGACGTGGAATACATTTGGCTCTCCGCTGCTCACTTTGAACCTGATGTTCGAGGAATGAGAGAAGCATCAATGTTCTAACCTAACTTTAGGTGCAAGACGATGATGATTTAGTACTTCAACTTTTCATAATCGAAACTTTCAAATTTCTTTGCTTTTAGTTTGATATATTATCTATTCCATTCTATTATAATGGAAATCGTAGAGATTTTATCTAACAATTATTTGTAAATTATTAGAAATATAATATAAAAGATGAAAGAGCAAAAAACATAAAAGACTACTCTACTAAGGCTAAGTAAAATTACAATCGAAATTAATTTCGAATCATATTTGAAGATGAAGGATTTAGCTGTATAAAAATTTCGACAAAATTTATTATTACTTGTTCTATTCATAATTTACAGGAATCAATTTTAATCATAAAAGTTATTCGTATTCCAATTATATCATATTACTATTAGTAGAAAATTTCATATTTTCATGAACACACAATTTAGGAAACAGCTTTGTACATTTGCTAAAAATGCATAAACATTAGTGGCCTAATTAATGTAAGGTAAACAAGAATATCACTCTTCTCACTGCGTTTACATTTAAAATAGTGAAAAAGGGAAACTAAGGCCAAGCAATCAGAAACTAAACGTCTTTACTTCCGGAGAACTATACGTTCATTACACGCAAGCATTAACGAACATGGACAAAAACGAAGAAGAGATGGGAAACTGCTCGGTTGAATCCTCTGTAAACGCTGGTAAATTAGTGTTTTCGCAGTTGAACTATGCACTATTACGGGGCACTATTACTAGCTAGCATGTAATAATTGCTTCGACCTACGGGCGCCAGGCGTCTTTGAAAAATAGAAGAAAACCCACTTAATACGCTCGTATATTTTACCGTGACACGTTTAGAGAGTGAGCGGTTCTAAACGCAATATTTCTGTTTCACGCCATTAAAGACGGGTTTCTTGTTGATTAAACGCACCATAGAACAATTTCGCTTCGTTTTACATTAACAGTCACTGATCTTCCGAGAAATATTAGTGCCGAGTCATGTACAATAACTCATGAAAGTATTCGAACATTTGTAAAAACATTTTATAAATATCTTATTTGTTGAAATTTTGAAATTTTATTAACACTGTGATGAGACTCCGCTATCGTGATTATGTATATTGCTGAAGTTTCAAACATACACACAGCATACTATTTAGTGCATGTAATGTGTTTTGCAGAAATCGTGAAATATTAATAAATTTCAACATTCGTTAGGACTATCGTTAACACTTTATTACATTTTAACCTGGCTGTCCATACAGTATACTGATTTTACATTAGATATGTTTGCAATAAATAATATTGTTTGCCAATAATATGATAGTATTATCATAGTATTAGTTTCAAGATGTTTTATATAATACATGCAATATATGCATAAAAGTTTTCTATGACAAGTGTTTAAGCACTGTAATGTGCTATAGATGCAAAGTAATTGTGTCTGCGTTCATATAGGCGTTGTAGTTCGTTTTAATGACAAATTTGCGAGAAGCTACAGTGATTCGTTCAATCTGTGCTGTCGCAATATTTGGGAACGTAAAGCTCGCAGTTTTGTGGAAATTCATTAGTTAGCTTCTATTACAATTTCCCCTATGGACTCTGTGATTCCGCTTTGCGTCATTGAAACTTAATATAGTTACACACTGTTTCATCGGAATCCAGAGGTTTGCTTTCTCTGTTACTTACTCCGGCGGTTTCATGTATTAATAGTCGCAGTAGCTTAATAGACATAGAAGGATTCTGGTCATTTTGTCAGATGTTGTGCAACAGGTCAATTCGTTTGACAGTTCGATGGAATACTGGGTTTTAGCGTGAAACATAGTCATTGCATATGGTTTGAAATGTCATTTCTAGACTAATGAAATTATTGGTGCATTTGTATACGGATTTAGAAGATAAAGATCAAAATTTTAAGTGAGCATACTTCTTCTTTTTATTCAATATATTCAACATAGTCCAAGAAGTGGTAAAAAAAAATGTTTTTTTCTTTTTGTTTCAGATCTGCCAACTACGCAAACTCAACGAAACAGTGTGAACTTTCAGATATGGACCGGCTAACCGTTGCAGGATCAAGCGCTTTCCAATCTGCTAAAGATTTTGATTATCTAGAAAACCACTGTGTGGACGAACCGGTGAAACTTTGTGAATTCAAGAAGCTGTCTGGGCGTATCTTGAAAACTGTGGATTCCGTATATCAAGATGTTGGCAGTGCAGAAGAATGCCGAGAACTTTGCTTGAACTCGCCATTCCGTTGCCATTCTTACGACTATGGCGACACTGGTGATATGGTGTGCCGTCTTAGCCATCACTCCAGAGCTACTCTTTCGGATATTCAGGTAAAATATTATGCCAAATTATTATTTCCTTGACAAATTATTTTCAAACAACTTCCACTTGGATTTCTGCAAATCGCATTTGTCACTGTCTCTGTATCCTGTATTGCACCGGACGAACAAAAGATTGAGCAAAGGCTTAATTAATTAACACCGCAACAACTCGCCATGTTAATAGTAATATTGAAAGTCTGATTGATCGTAACCATAATCATTAAGTATTTAAAAAGATAGGACAAAAATTAAGCGAATAATATAGAGACAACTGAAGCTTAAAATAAATCCTACTTGAAACATATCTAACGATAATAAAATTTAGTACATCGACGAAGTATTAAATTTTTCTCCGAGAACGAAATTTGTTTCATTTAGAATAAAGATACTAAATTAAACTAAAAAAAAAAAAAAAATAACAATCTGCATCAAACTACATTTTAATTTTAAAGTTAATATTCTCAAAATTGGAACAGAATTGCTATTTTTTATTCAACCAAAATTTACAACAGAATTTTTCTATTAGTCGTTCATAAGAAGAAAAAATAAATCGAGGACTATGACGCCACGTCACGTTTAATTCTCGCGGAACAACTGGTCGTTTGTTCGTTTGGTTCATGTTTAATAAAATGCTATTTCGCGGCGTTCCTGCGAAATGCCGTGGGACGCTGTTCGACAATGTGAGATTTCTCGTTACGTGAACTTACTTTAATTCATTTGGCACGACGAAGTAAAACAATTCAACGTCAATTCCGGGCATAGAATTCGCTTGGAAATCGTAGACCACACATTTCACCAGTTCTACCGTACACCACGTACTCTTGAAAGGTCCGGTAGGGATTTTCTGTAAACGTGATTACATTGCACACGTGCAAACCAGGTCGAACAATTCGCCGAGAGCGCATTCATGGAAAATCGAGTTTCCATCGCAGATGCTTACCCTATCGAGCCTGTGGGTGGCTCTTCAGTTTGCGCATACGAGAGAACGGGTATCTCGTGGTCCTCAGAAAGTCAAGACAAAGACTTTTCTTCTCGCCAACCTGTTGAAGAATCGGCTCGCTCTATTTCCACTAGCGTTCTACTATGTCGAACTGAATCACTAGTACTTCTTCCTTTTTTTCTTTTTTTTTTTTTTTGTATAATACGTATCGTAAATCGCGTCATGGTTCTTATCGCATCTTTATTTCTTCTCGATTTGATATACGAGAAGTCCTTTAAACCGTAGGAAAGAAAAAAAGTCGTCCATTTTGTCATTTAGAAGGATATATCGATAATATAATATTGCGTGATATATCACCATGGATAAAATATTGGAACGACCAGTGGTATTTTGGATGACGTACTCTCGCAACCTTCGGTCCCTTATTCGTGTCGTTAAAAAGAGCATAAACATTTAAACGTGGCAATTTGAAACTCGTTTCCTATATCATTATATGTCTTAAATAATACGTTAGGGTAATTGTATAAAGAGGTAGTATCTCAGAGTTGATGCTATAATTTTGGTAATGAACGAGCAAAACCTGGCTTGATGCATTTAGCAATTTGTTAGGGGATAAAACGATAAACAAGAACACATTTGTGACAGTTTAAGTTCTGTAAATAGCAGGCAATTATAACACTGGTTAGCTATTCTAGTGGAAATATGCAAATTGTTATTACCCCATCGACACAGATTATCGTATTATCGAGAAGAATTGGCAAATTAGCATTACAAAATGACATACATATACTACTACAGTTATGAGATAATTTGGAATTTCGTGGAACGTATATCACAAACCACCATCATTTTTGATATAAGATAGAAAAATGTTTTTGACCATATAATCACTCGGTACACGTCAATCTCGTATTCGAATAATTTAAATATTCTACCATTATAGTTGATACAAAATTACAAAATTACACATCTGCTATACCACATAAGAAGTTATGATACGTCAGGTTAGCGTTTAACATTTAGTGATAAATACAATCTCAGGTGGTTCTAACATTTCAGTAGTGATACATTAAAGCATCACGAAGAAATAATGGATTAAATTACAAACAAACAACACAGAACTAAAGAGCTCATGATATAATGATAACAACGGAAAATTCATGCTTAATTTCAGGAACCTTATCTTGACGTGCCTGAGGGCTCAACCTACGAATTAAGCTCTTGTTACAACGTAACGATCGATTGCCGTGCCGGCGACATGGTGACAAGAATCCAAACGAGCAAATTGTTCTACGGCAAGGTGTACGTGAAGGGTTCGCCAAATTCGTGCGTACAAGACGTAAAGGGCGCCTTGGAATTCGAGTTACGAATGGCTTACGACGATTTGGAGTGCAACATCAAACAACAGGGTTTGGGTAGATACTTAAACGACGTGGTGATCCAACACCACGACACCATTGTTACCAGCTCCGATCTTGGTTTGGCTGTCACCTGTCAATACGACCTGACCAATAAAACAGTGTCGAACGAAGTCGATCTCGGTGTACACGGTGATATAACGCCCGCGTTGTCCGAGGAAGTGATCGTCGACTCGCCGAACGTCGCCATGAAGATCACCGATCGTAGTGGAAACGAAGCCATCCCATCAGCCGAAGTCGGTGATCCGTTGGCACTGAAGTTCGAGATCCTCGACCCTAACAGCCCGTACGAGATCTTTGTACGCGAGCTAGTGGCTATGGACGGCGTGGACTCCAGCGAGATAGTCTTAATTGACTCGGATGGCTGCCCCACCGATCACGTCATCATGGGTCCGCTCTACAAGTCCGCTACCACCGGCAAGGTAAGTTCCAGGCTAATGGTTATCATTTATCGTTAGCTGTAGCGCGATGTGAACCACAACGGCGCCACCATAAGCACGCCAACTTCTCGGTAGAGACTTTTTAACGAGATCGTAAACGGTTACGTACGGAATTAGTTTCTTTTTTCTTTCTTTTTTTTTCTCTCTTTTTTAAGGAACACGTGTCTCGTTACCCTCGACACTCTTTAATGGTTTCGATCAAGCTTTTACTCCGCAAAAAGAAAATTGGGTGCTTCGAACGTATTCATAGAGCTGTTTATGGAGCAATAAGAGTTTATTATAGAGCGAATGCCAATACAAGTGGAGCTCCATCTATCTGAACATGACGAAGGACACGCAATTCACTTCGTATAATAGAGTTCTTGTAATATGAGGTCAAGAAATTTTCTCCCCTATCTACTAGTACTTGTCATTCATACGATAATAGTTCAAATCGAGGGATTTAATCGACAGATCTATTTAAAGGGCATTAATTAAAATTTCGTTTCAATTAACGTCCGAACTACTAAGTCAAAAGATATAAAGTTCGCAAATTACAAGTTCTGACATATTCTGTGCAACAGCTGAATTTGTTTGGCTATCGCACGATCACGTTAACGTCTCGATCAAACCTAAGCGTTCCGAGGAATCCACTGTCCTAAAAATCCTCTAAATAACTTCTTTCAAAAACATTGTCGTCACGTAACACGATCATAAATCACTCTATACGACGTCATTAATGAAACTACTAAAGACTACGAACGATACGTAACCAAGGAAGTATATGTTAGACAAGACTAGAAGACATCAGCTGTCACAACAAGAACTGTTATTACTCGCGTCGGTTTCAAGATGTTTGTAATTCCTCCTACGCGCTTCTCGGAGTTAATGATAAAAACGGGGATAAAGACCGATTCTAATGTGACGAACATAGCAAGTCAGTCAACGAGGCAACTAATAGAGATGCTTGGTATCGATAATGTCGATACTTGGCCAACGAGCGTTATAGGAACTTGTGTTACGTTGTTTCGCGTTCATAGGTACATTCTATAAGGGTTAGAGGAAGGAAAAGGGGAGGGTTGGAAGAAATTGCGAGTCAACCAGTCAGTCCGACTGCATGCTAATCAATCACTCAAACGGATTTTACGACGGGAAGCAATTTGCTCGCGCCATAACAAGTCGTGCTATGGATGCACCGCCGCGCTGTCTTAGCTATAGCGCTGCATGATGCGTTGATAACAGCTTCGGGGGCTCGTTATTATTTTCACCGTGTAATGCTAGCTGTCGTCTGAAAATTTGGAAAGCAAACAGCTCTTCGTCACGGTTGACGTAGAACATGATACATGGGCATGTTATAAACGCAATTGTGCCTGCAAATTGGCAAGAATACTTGGTTATGCAGACAGCTTCTGATGAATGAAATACGTTACATCGAAGTAAAAATTATTTGGTAATAAATAGACTGTGAATTTTTATACATTTATGAGCGTAATAATAATACAATTTCCCATGTACATTCCGTTTTTTAATTATATTCGTAAAAATATGAATTTACATAAATATTCAGTCTAGTAATAAAATAATTGTGATAGTACGACTACAATAATTTCCTAATATAATTCTCATTCTTGATTCTTTCAAAGAAAGAAATTCTTCGAGCATCTCAAGTTTTTCCTCTGATTGAACTAGTGATGAATATTCGTATCTTAATTTGGAAATAATTCAAAATTTTTCTCTATTACGAAGATAACATGGAGATCATTATAATTATAGTATAGGACTGCTCAATATAACGATGTGGAAGGAAGATTTTATTGTTTCGTGGAGACAGAACGTGTAAAACAGATAGCAAGATAGTGACAACGTAAATAAAACTCCCTCGGGTTACCTGGACCCATGTATTTCACTTACGAGTTAATGCAATATCACTTACCATATACCCCAGAGATATTTCCATTTTGATTTCTGCTTCTAAAGAAGGGAGAAATAAAGAACGAACGTTATGAAAATCAGGATCGTAAACTGCATATTTTCCATTTTTTCCCTTCATATCGTTATATTAACGTTGATAATATTTTACTTTCATATAAGAAAAAGTCCTTTCACTAACATATCATCGTTTAAAAGAATTCTATGAACAGTTGCAATTTTGAATGATAAAATTGCAAAATTTATCTTCCTACGCAAATCGCCGAAATTTTTTTAAAAATTAACGGGAGTTAACGGAGATTCTCTCGTATTCAAGAATTATTAAACGTTCGCTGAAGATAAATCTCCGTTCGACGTTTTGTTAAATTTCTCAACATATTTACAAGATGTTAAGGTATAAATAAAGTAGGTGGGGGAAAGGGGAAATATTGGATATGCATCGATGTAGGTATCAAGACGTTGATCAATGATCGTACCACGCCCAATAACCAAATGGATGACATTATCGATGTAACAACGATTCAGACATTCGAGCGTGCATGTTATAGTGTCAAAACATCGCTGAATCATCGGCGAGACGTAATTCCACGCGTGGAGTGCAAAATCTCTCGAAGTGTCAGCGAACTACAAAGAATAAATTAATTTTGTAATTGCATTACTACCACGGTGAATCGCCATAGAATTTGTCCATTTACTCACATCACGGATCACGCATCGTAGAAACTAATTTGCATAATCTAAAAATTTTCACCGCTGTACGTATCAACCCTCTCGCTTAAGTATTATTTATCGTTCGCCTCGTTTATTCCCCTATCTCTCTAGCGAAATGCATTAATCATCGAAAGATTCTGTTATTAAATTCGGTTTAATGAAATAGAACGTTAAGTAGAATAAACGTGCGTACGAGGTACGACACTCGAAATTAATTATAGTAATCAATTACATGCAGAATTTATATGATCTTGAAAATGTAAGGTATAACGTAATGAATCCTTCAGCAAATTGCAAATTTCAATTATACTCATCGACCGCTTGTTATGATTTTATATTGGACGTCAGATGAAAAGCTTCTTGAAAATAAAACACCAGAAAGATGATTCGCCTTAATCATCAAGAATGATGGCGCATAACTGTCTTAACATGATGTGAGAGATCGTTCTCTCCAGTAATGATCATTCCTTCCTCATGAGAAAGCGTAAAATTAGCCCCGCGATCGTGTTGACGAAGGAAGGATACAATCTGTTCGACAGAGCTAGATACCTAGGGAATGTTACAGCTGGCCGCTAACCATATTGGATAAATTGAATGTAACATATAGCAAATCTACCTTAGAAAATTAGAAATATTAGGTGCTTTAGATAGATTGAGAACACAGAGTAAATTAGATGGTTCGGGCATCTAGACAAATCTATTATTTTCGACTAAACCTAAAATAAATTTTAAGTATAATATATAAAGTCCTTCTTTAAGACTTTCTTTTAGAGAATTTACCTATAATTTTGGTTAGTGTAATTCTTGTTTCACCATATAATTTGTTCGCGAAGTACCAAATATACGATATAATATAATATAAAGGATAAGGTTTAACACAGAAGGAACCTCAAAATCGGTCTGCGATTTCAGCTCGTTAACTTTTCGCTGTATGAATAGCCAGGCTATTCGTTAAAAATTAAAGCCGCATCGACGAATAATGACATACGACTATCTTAACGACGTGAAAGATTATTCGTCCAATAATGATCGTTCCTTCCGTGTGTGCCGCATAAGGAAGCACAAAATTAGCTCCGGGACTCTTGCATTAGTACGTGGAAGACGATCGGTGCTCGCGAGCCCGAGCATCATTAATTCTTGCAAATTTTATCGGCATCCGATCGTCGCGTAAGATAAGAAACTTCACACGTCGTATGATTTAAGAGGTAGCCGTCATAGTCACGAATGATTTCAAGTTTTCTAACCACGATATAATTATGCTCCTTAAGTGAAGTTCGCGCGTACGAGATCCATCCGGTCCGATAAGCTCTTGAACCTTCGCCATTTTTTCCAATCGCTCCGAGTTCCTCATCAACTCGCGCGAATCTACCGATCGCCTCCGATAAATTAACAGTGTTCCACGCTTGCTAACGTTATGTAACCGAAATTTTTATCAAAGTGTTCAATTATCTTGGCGAAGCTGTCTATCGATCTTTAAGGTAGACGTGGATGATGAATCGCGCTGCCGGATAAACGTGATAATGTTTATTTAAACAGGAAAGATAACACAGAGAGATTTTATACAGTGGAATAGCGAACGAAGAGAAACGAAGTACCTATATAGTTTAACCTCAAATATATGGTATTCCGATATTTTGCTATATACTTCATGATTTAGCAGGCATATAATATTTATATACTGAAGTATGCTCGAAAGTATTCATATTATTAAAGTAAACTAATAGAGAACTTTTCTTTGTACGCGAAGAAACTGTTAATAATCTGAAATTTTGTTCTCTAATTATTTCTAGGACTCGAATATGTCATCATAATTGTTTTATTAAAAATATCTATTATCTTTATAATACGATTTTAATATATGAAAATCAAATAGATCTTATTAAATTATCTTTCTATAGTCTCGTGATACATAAATTAACAGTTTCAAAGTATTTTATCATATTTAGAAAAGTCATGGATTCAAGGGTAAGAGATAGTAATATTTTGCTAATTTTTCATTATCGTATCATACGAACAGCAAAACATCTGATCTCTTCCCGAACGTCTCAAAGATAAAAGTTCAAAATTCTCCTTCAGGATAACCACTGAGTTTTATTACCAATTGTTTCGTATTATCAAAGCAATGGCTAATGGTTCACAGTAAATCTCACTTCATCGATTTCGAAGAACACGTTCACCGGTTTGAAGGTTGAACGTCCTACGAGATCTTGTACGCGATTGATGCTTCGGCTGTCGACGAGTAAAACAAACGGATCGTTACGATATAGTCGCAGGTAGAAAGAAGAATGCAAGGATAGGGGGCAAGAGGGGGAGAGGGGAGAACAAGGGGCATACCGCCTCGTTAACTCTTCGTTCCACATCAT